TTAGTGGAAAGTAGTGCATTTTATGTTCTTTGTGTATTCCGAAAAGCAAACGAAAGAAAGATGAGGAATTTTCTAAACGGTTGCATCTATCAAAATTTTTATAAAATGTTGATTATCTTGAAAGCGGCTAGATTTAGGTGCAGAGAAGCTTAAATATTGTTTGCGTATTTTTAAATTATCTTGTCGATAATGCAATAATGTATAGGGTTTTCCATTTAAAATAATCAAGTTGACAGCTACTTCCGTTATAACCGGAAGTGCTACGACAATGATATTATTTTATAAGTAGTCTCTGAAATATTCTAATGGGCCGTCACCGTAAGACAGCCCGTATACTTATATTTTATTTTCTAGCACATATTTGATTTCAAACTTCTATAATATCTATTTCAATCTCTTATCTAACAGCACAAATCAGTTTATTTTCTAAAAGTTATACTGACGATGAATATTGATCCTCAAAATAGCGGTACATTTTCAAACGTTTCTCTTGACTGTAAACGGACTCAAAAAAAGTAGTTCCCTGCCAGCTAGACGTGTGTGGTGTACGGTAAAATAGCGAATTAATTAATTATAACAAACAGCTGCTGTTAATTCAGAGGCACTTTTCTGGTTTTCGAAACGACTTTGATAGATGAACGTGCAGCAACTTTAAACGGGCTAGGTGTAAAATATTTTATCCTGCGGAGATTTCTGTCACAAAATTCATTACGGAAGAGCAGAAAAGCCTCCAAATGAACAATGAACAGCTGCTCTTATTGGACGGCTTCGCGAGGGTTATGACGTTTGGAAAAGTCGTGACTTGCGTGAATCCATCACGGCATAAAAGCCTAAGTTGTCCGTTATTCGGCACCGAAATCTAATTTTAATCCAGTAAAATTAGAAGATAGCTGCTATCAAAGTTGGTAATAGCCGGTGCGGAAAATGTAAATTTATGGGACGCAAGTTTAAAATCAGCCGTCTAGAATTCGTCCTTACACTCTTTTATCAATTATTTTTTGCGTGGCGACAAAAACACTAAAAATATCTTTCGGCATGTCGTTATGTGGTTAAAATATTCGCCAATCTCGAACGCCCTTCGGCATGAATAATACATGAATGTTTAAAAAATTTATAACATAAAAAAGAACATCGAAAGTATTTAGGCGTCCATGAATGATTACGAAATATAATTTATTCACGTTTTATTACCATAGCCGTCAAACTTTATTTGAAAAATATACTTAAATGCGCTGCGATAATAAATTAGTGAATTATAAAAGACATAAAAGTTCCTACAAATATGTCCTAAACAACCTAGTTTCCAAGTATTAAATTGTATTTTAAAAAGCCCTTAGTCCTATTTAGTATACGCCAAATAATAAACAACCCCATAGTGTACGTTGTCATGAAGAATTTCTCAATTTCTCCCGTCGTTCTCGGTACAACCTAGTCGCCGCGAGCGCATTTTCTCCGGCTGCACCATACACTAACACCATATCGACCCGTTCGGGTTTTTTCGGTTCATTGTAAAACTAGTTTGTGCACAAACTAAAATATTAAGCAAAGTAAGAAATAAGAATCTCGTTTTTAATGTATATTCTTCGCTATTCTTATTTTTTACTTCTTTATAAAAATTACACTGTCACTATCGTGTAATTACAAAATAAAAACTTTTGTCCGGAATCTTCCACTTTTTAACACTGATGGGTCGATGGACGATGCTTAATATGGAATAATTAAGTGAATAATGAATTCAATGCAAATACAAAATCAGTTGACTACACAAATTTTTTGACAATGTAACCTAACCTTTTAGTATTACTAGTATTACTGTTATTACTATTATTAAGTTTTTAATAAATAACACAGGGTCGGCCTTCATTTTCGTTGAATAAATAACCTTTAATTTACAAAAAAAAAACGCGAAGATAGAACTTTTACGTATAAGACTTTTCTATTACAAATATCATCAGCAAGCTGTAGTTTAATTTTTATAGATTTTTTTTATAATTAAAATTATATCAATGTTACTGATCAATTGAGCATGCGTATTAAAGATAATTTCATATAAGCGAAGTAGCTTCGCAAGAGGGTATCATTCAAGGAAAATTTGGTTATGGTTACGTGTATGTCAACTTTGTGATTACTTGCTTTCTTTCTAGTAAGTTGTGTAACAATTTTTGCCTAAAAGGCCAGTTAATATGAGGGCAATTTTTGTGTACTTTGAAGAAAAGAAGCTCATCGAAAAGGGAGAAAATTCTGTTTTCTCTGGTTATGTACAAAAAATGCTTTATGATGATGAACTTTCAGTTATCAGTGGAGAAGTCAAGCCAGTATGAAGAGGAAAATATATACATTCCGAATAAAGTGCTAGTTTACATAAAATAAACCTGTGGGGAATATTCATCTAAACATATCACGCTTTTAGGTGGGCCACCATTTTGAAATTGGGGTCCGGATTGCGGAGCACCCCAACAGTTATCTTTTCCTGTAGTTTCATCCATTTTCAATCAAATTTGTTCTTTTTATTTAATGCTGAAAATTTTACTCATTTTTTCTTCACCGCTAACTTTCGAATGTAAAAAAAATTTTGCGAGCTTTCGTAAAAGCCTATCCTTGTAGCAAATTTCCTCAGGAACAATATCGATAAGGACACCTCATGTCGATTAGAGACTTATTTTCGAAGATATAAGCGAAAAACTGAAAAAAGTGTAATTTTTTTTTCTTTTGTTATAAACAATATGACGCTCCACCTCTACAAATACTCAAATTTAGGCTTTTATTCTGTGTATTTTTTACTTATTTTTCTCCAATAGCAAGTGATCTACTTATTTAATTTTTTATTGTTATTGATACATTTAAAGTATCAATTGAGTTTCAAGGTTAAATATTTTATAATTTTTCCAATATCCATCACTAAACTAACGCACCCACATTTCATGTAATTTANAAAGCCCTTAGTCCTATTTAGTATACGCCAAATAATAAACAACCCCATAGTGTACGTTGTCATGAAGAATTTCTCAATTTCTCCCGTCGTTCTCGGTACAACCTAGTCGCCGCGAGCGCATTTTCTCCGGCTGCACCATACACTAACACCATATCGACACGTTCGGGTTTTTTCGGTTCATTGTAAAACTAGTTTGTGCACAAACTAAAATATTAAGCAAAGTAAGAAATAAGAATCTTGTTTTTAATGTATATTCTTCGCTATTCTTATTTTTTACTTCTTTATAAAAATGACACTGTCACTATCGTGTAATTACAAAATAAAATCTTTTGTCCGGAATCTTCCACTTTTTAACACTGATGGGTCGATGGACGATGCTTAATATTGAATAATTAAGTGAATAATGAATTCAGTGCAAATACAAAATCAGTTGACTACACAAATTTTTTGACAATGTACCTAACCTTCTTTTAGTATTAGGCCCTCCACAGACGGGTCGATCGGCGATATGGTCGACGGGATTGCAATGACGTCACAATTTCCTCAATTCAACAATTTACTAGTATTAGATTATACCAACTTAAATTATAAGGTTGCATCTCGAGTGGCATAAAAACATTTTCAAAGTTTTTAATAAATAACACAGGGTCGGCCTTCATTTTCGTTGAATAAATAACCTTTAATTTACAAAAAAAAAAAAACGCGAAGATAGAACTTTTACGTATAAGACTTTTCTATTACAAATATCATCAGGAAGCTGTAGTTTAATTTTTATAGATTTTTTTTATAATTAAAATTATATCAATGTTATTGATCAATTGAGCATGCGTATTAAAGATAATTTCATATAAGCGAAGTAGCTTCGCAAGAGGGTATCATTCAAGGAAAGTTTGGTTATGGTTACGTGTATGTCAACTTGTGATTTCTTACTTTCTTTCTAGTAAGTTGTGTAACAACTTTTGCCTAAAAGGCCAGTTAATATGAATGCAATTTTTGTGTACTTTGAAGAAAAGAAGCTCATCGAAAAGGGAGAAAATTCTTGTTTTCTCTGGTTATGTACAAAAAATGCTTTATGATGACGAACTTTCAGTTATCAGTGGAGAAGTCAAGCCATTATGAAGAGGAAAATATATACATTCGGAGTAAAGTGCTAGTTTACATAAAATAAACATGGGGAATATTCATCTAAACATATCACGCTTTTAGGTAGGCCACCATTTTGAAATTGGGGTCCGGATTGCGGGTATTTGTTGAGCACCCCAACAGTTATCTTTCATCCTTTTTCAGTCAAAGTTATTTTTATTTAATGCTGAAAATTTTACTCATTTTTTCTTCACCGCTAACTTTCGAATGTAAAAGCCCATTCTTGTAGCAAATTTCCTCAGGAACAATATCGATAAGTATACCTCATGTCGATTAGAGACTTATTTTCGGAGATATAAGCGAAAAACTGAAAAAAGTGTAATTTTTTCTTTTGTTATAAACAATATGTCGCTCGACCTCTAGAAATACTCAAATTTAGGCTTTTATTCTGTGTATTTTTTACTTATTTTTAAGCACATAAATTTTGAATTAGGCCCGATTTTTGAAACAGGCATGTGTTTGGTATAATTCACCCGGATTAGTTATCACTGTTTTCTCCAATAGCAAGTGATCTACTTATTTAATTTTTTATTGTTATTGATACATTTAAAGTATCAATTGAGTTTCAAGGTTAAATATTTTATAATTTTTCCAATATCCATCACTAAACTAACGCACCCACATTTCATGTAATTTAAAAAAGGCACCGAGTTCCGTTACATTACATTAAATAACGTTATTATATCCCTCCAAGATCATGAGAAAATGGCAGATGAAAAATCTACCTCATCACAATTTGCTTTCACGTTGTTTTTACCTATCGTCCCGCTAAGTGTAATATATTTCGAGTAATTGCCCGTCGCAGATACAGCCAGACGCAATTTGGCGTCCCCTGCCATTTTAGAAAGCTCGTCATCCCCTGCCATTATTTCTTGCCGGCTCAATCCTGCCCTAGTGTAAGACTTTTTTTTCTCTTTTGTTTCAGGTAATGTCTTTGTTATAGCCGCAATTCTGCTGGAAAGGAATCTTCAGAACGTTGCCAACTACCTGATAGTTTCTTTGGCTGTGGCGGACCTCATGGTGGCGTGCCTGGTGATGCCCCTGGGGGCCGTATACGTGGTAAGTTTTTTTTTGGTTTGGCGTAGTTGTCGTTAAAAGAATTTTATGAGGAAAAAGTGAAGGAAAGTTTTCTTGACAAGTTGTAGGAGTTTACCGAATACCTACTATCGAAATAAATGAAATAGACCCCTGAGTTTGGAAACCGATATTAAGAACACGTAGGTCAAAAAAAAATTGAAATTTGGACCATATACAGGCTGTTGCAAATTCGCTTTTCAAAATATTTACTTCTTTTTCAAAAGGTCCACATGTATCAATTATTTATTTTTGGCAATCCCACCTTTCAGTTCTTTTAGCTTGATTAATCATTTTTAATGTGAGCTGTTCAAGAGCTTTGTATGATGATTTGTCGTTGAGTTAACATTAATCAAAGCAAAAATTACCTTTTTGCACGATCAAGCTTTTTTAGTTCACTTACCATGTTTGTTTCTACGACAGTAGGATGCGCTTACTGGTTGCTATAACTATTTACTCGGGAACTAATGATCATAGAAAATATCTGAGCACGATTTTGAAAATTTCAGAGCATCTATTCTATAAGACGTTCTTACGGTTTTTTATAAAAAAAAAATTCGATGCTAGGAAAAAACAGAAAAAAAAATGAGTGATTCTCGCTATTGCACTAAAAGTGATATACCTGTCTCCCTTAATTGAGTGAAAAATAACAGTAATAGTGACTTAACCAATGATCATAATAATATTACTAAAAAGTAACAGAGATTATAAATGAAAAATATATTATCCAAACGTAGAAAACATTACTTTTTCGCCAATCGACATTAAAGTCGTAGTTTTAGTGAGAGCTGTCAGGCACTAAAGTTGTCACATTTGCTGCCTAGGCCTAGGCATTAGAATCATTTTACTTCCGCTAAACTAAAAATTAAAATTTGTTTTTTAACGAAAGTAATTTTATTTATTGTAAACATTTATAGTGAAGTGAAATTAGAACAGCATGTAAGGGATATTCCTTGACCTGTTTGTTCTGAAACATTTTCTTCGTCTATGTATTTGAAGTATTTTCACTTATAGATTGTTTATGAACTATTGAATCCTTCAAAGTGGTTTAATTATTTAAAAAATCGCTTCCAGCACTTGACGTGCTTGATGCAGTTGGAATTTGTTTTGCTAGCAACTGATTTACGAGTTATGGATTCCTCAATGTAGCCTTCAGCTACCGTTGAAGATTTCCATCCACCATGCATTTTTAATGTTGTGATATCAGCTCCTGATGTCATTAATAGTGTAGCTGCAGTTCTACGGAAACAATGCCTTGTATATTCGTGAAAATCCTTCAGTTTGAGAAATGCAAAACATTTTCCCAAATGTATTAATTCCTACTAATTGGTTATATGCTTTATCATTTGAATATTTAAAAAAAAATCTGTTACTGTCTATTTCCAATTTCTATTTGAAGTAATTCATCACATTGACACACCCCAGATATGGCAAAAATCAATGCCACCTAAAATAATAATAGTATTCTACGTTCACAGAAATATTTTGTTTGTAATTACCCTTGTACCTAAATACCTATCATCAGGGACCTTCATTAGAAATTTGTTAATTTGTTCATTTTCTAAAACGCCTGAATTTTTAGCATGATGTTCATTCAATTGCCGTTTCAAGAATGCTTTTAATTTTAGATACTTTCCAATATCGATATGACATTAAAAAAAAGCTCTGAACATCGCATATATGGACCATAATTCAGGAAAATATACCTATAGTACATTTTCTAAAAATAACAATGTTGTTTTCAGCACGGTAATAAAAAATTTTTATTATTCATTAATATNGGTAAGTTTTTTTTTGGTTTGGCGTAGTTGTCGTTAAAAGAATTTTATGGAGGAAAAAGTGAGGAAAGTTTTCTTGACAAGTTGTAGGAGTTTACCGAATACCTACTATCGAAATAAATGAAATAGACCCCTGAGTTTGGAAACCGATATTAAGAAAACGTAGGTCAAAAAAAATTTATAAATTGGACCATATACAGGCTGTTACAAATTCGCTTCTCACTACAAGAATCTCGAAAACGGTAAGAGATACAAACTAGCTTAAATAGGGGCAAAGTTGCGTAATCAGGGGACCAACATTATGCCTCTAAAAAATCAAGACTAACATGATTAGTTTTCGAAATATTCGAAAAAAAAAACGAAATTTTGGAAATCCGTTTTTGTTTCATTTCAGCCTTGTTTGAGGTGATATTGAAAAAAGAAGAACACTTTCTCATTGTGACTTTTTGCTTTCTATTGAATGGCATAATCAATTTTTATATGTAACGTTTCGTCTCTCCAGGACCACCAATCATTTTACTGCCGCTAAACTAAAAATTAAAATTTGTTTTTTAACGAAAGTAATTTTATTTATTGTAAACATTTATAGTGAAGTGAAATTAGAACAGCCTGTAAGGGATATTTATTGACCTGTTTGTTCTGAAACATTTTCTTCGTCTATGAATATGAAGTGTTTTCACTTATAGATTGTTTATGAACTATTGAATCCTTCAAAGTGATTTAATTATTTAAAAAATCGCTTCCAGCACTTGACGTGCTTGATGCAGTTGGAATTTGTTTTGCTAACAACTGATTTACGAGTTATGGACTCCTCAATGTAGCCTTCAGCTACCATTGAAGATTTCCATCTACCATGCATTTTTAAAGTTGTGATATCAGCTCCTGATGTCATTAATAGTGTAGCTGCAGTTCTATGGAAACAATGCCTTGTATATTCGTGAACATCCTTCAATTTGAGAAATGCAAAACATTTTCCCAAATGTTTTAATTCCTACTTTTGGTTATATGCTTTATCATTTGAATATTTTTAAAAAAATCTGTTACTGTCTATTTGTGTAGGTCTTGTTGTACTATATTTACTTTTTTTGGTTTTTGTAGTTGGCACAGTGATCAGCAATCTATCTATCTACAATATCTCCAATTTTTATTTGAAGCAATTCATCACATCGACACACCCCAGATATGCCAAAAATCAATGCCACCTAAAATAATAATAGTATTCTACGTTCACAAAAATATTTTGTTTGTAATTACCCTTGTACCTAAATACGTATCATCAGGGGCCTTCATTAGAAATTTGTTAATTTGTTCATTTTCTAAAACGCGTGAATTTTTAGCATGATGTCCATTCAATTGCCGTTTCAAGAATGCTTTTAATTTTAGATACTTTCCAATATCGATATTATGACATTAAAAAAAAGTTCTGAACATCGCATATATGGACCATAATTCAGGAAAATATACCTATAGTACATTTTCTGAAAAAGACAATGTTGTTTTCAGCACGGTAATAAAAAATTTTTATTATTCATTAATATTTTTCATGAAAAAAGTAACATACGCTAACAAATGAATTAAATCATTTTTAACTTTATCGTGAGTAAATATATACATAACAATAAAAATGGAAAAAATGTCACTGATATACTCTTTCCAATTTCAATCTGACATTTTTTTTGAGAGCAATATTTTGTTTTCAACTCATATATAAAGTTTTATATATTTGCCATTTATAATTTTATTACACACAAACCTCAGACTGTGGAGTTCCTTGTTGGATTTACTCGCAATCCTCGTTAAAAAAGTTATATTAATTCCATGTTCTTCCATTCGAAGACATTAACAAAAGACAGGCCTTACACGTTGTATTTTACTTTGGCCTAATACTCCTGAAAACTCCAAAAAAGTATATTATTCCTGCAGGAACCACACCCCGAGAATAAAGTAAATTTAACTTCGAACAGTATTTTGTTTTCTCGGAGTTGAAACAATGAAAAAATCGCCAGATGTTATCGAGCAATGCGAAGTTAGTGACCGAAACTGGTACAGAATGTAGATTTCGGAATATTATAAAAGAAAATAATGTTAGGGTGGCTTCCGACTTTCCTCATTTGAATTTTCTGTTATTTCAAGTTGCACGATTGTCCATGAATTGTTTTTCTTACGAGAAACTACCAGTAAATTCAATGTATGGAATGTAGGACTAGTCCATATACGATAACAGAAACGGAACAAGACGTTACTATGTAGCGCCAAGAAAGATTCAGCAAATGCACGTCACTGAAATCCAACATTAACTTTTTTTTGTAGTTAAAAGGTTTCGAAATGCTTTAATATAGCAAAAAAAATATTTATTACTTTTAGCCTTTTCAGCAGTTTAATCGGTATTTGAGTTTTATTGCTAAGAAAGTGATTTTGATTTTTGATAGCAGTTAATAATTCCCTATTGTAAGAAATAGCCAACTAACTGGACATCGCCTTCCCTGCTATACGGCGCACGAGCAAGTGGGAAAAGATAAGACAGCGATGTTACGGACGGTTGACAGTGTTGACGTGAAATAAAAACTTTGTCATTACTTATCATTACTATTAAAAAATAAAGTTGTGTGAAAATAAAGAGCTGGTTTGAATTAGTGACAAACCATTGCTGGTTAGGTTACCTGAACCCCAACCTCACATTCGTGGCGCCCAACATGGGCGCCACATATTTTTGTCAACGGAAATATTAACACTAGGCTTCTTAAGCTTAGACTCTTCCACAATTAGCCTTCACCAATACAATAAACTACTTTTTAGTAATATTCGCAGACTTAACAAAATGCCAACTGCGGTAATAAAAAAATGTATCTGTAATAACCGTGCTTTAAAAAATATGTTAACCGTTCAAGTACTTAAAGTTTTAGTCTTATCCACGTCCCATACAACTCGAACGGTTATTTACAAATTAACCCACAATAGAACCCACTACGGCCCTAATGGGTACACTTAGTAAACTGTAGCAATATATATGATTGCTATCAGACAGCCGAAACAAGCTCGCTATTATTTCAAAGGAAGTTATTAAATCTGAACAGCATTTGCCGTATACCATTACAACTGTATTACATTATCAAATAGAGAAATGGAGTCTTAGGCGAGGAGAGGATTATTCATCTTAACGATGGATATCGCTCACGGTTTAGGGGCTAATGGAGGTGTCTGAGTTTG